CCCCAAAACCCCAAAACCCCAAAACCCCATTCATCAAGAATTTTTGTAATTTAATTAAACTGTTAATAAATTTATTAAAATTTTAAATGATAGGAAAAATAAAGAAGATCGGTAATGATCTTCTGTTCCATGCTATTAATCATGCAAACGTTCATGATGTAATAGCATTACTAGAGGAGAACGAGGTTGATGTCAATTGCAGTAATATTAATGGTTAAACACCACTCCATGTAAGTTAATTTCCTACAATCTCAATTTGCTAATTATTCTTCATTTCGTTGATGATTTTACGCAATACTAACAGTCTCTGATAACAGTTTAATTTTTTAGTATGCAGTTCAAGCCGAGAATAAGACCTTAATTGAAATATTGCTATAATACGGAGCAAATCCTAACAAGCAAGAAAATCACGATGTCGGATAAAATTCACCTCTTCACAAGGCAACTGAAAAAAATATGATTGATGTTGTTGATATGTTTATCAATTATGGTGGTGATCCAACCATAAAAAATAAGCTAGGTTTTACAAGTCTGCATATCGCTGCAAAGGATGGTCGAGCAGAAATAGTTAAATTACTACTTAATAAAGGTAATTGATTTAATGTTAGTAATCACTCATTTTAGGTTGTGATCCAAATATAAGAGATACATATGGTTTTAGTGCAGCTTACTGGGCAAAGTAAAACAAGCATAATCATATCTGTGAATTATTACCAGCCCCTCTAAAAATTACAAAAGAAGAGTTTTACGATCATATTTAAACTGTATGGGATAAGCATGGATTCAAACCTCCTAAGAAGAAGGGGAAGAAGGGAGGCAAAAAAGGGGGTAAAAAGAAGAAGTGAGGATATATTATTGCATTATGTATACTTAATTATTTTATTTTTTCGTTTTATAAATAATTCAAAGACATAAGTACGATAGGATTTATTTAATTTTTAACTCAAGTCATTTATAAAATTTCATTCCTAGTTGATCTATTAACTTTTATATGTTCAATGATGTCCATGTCCTTTGTTCTGGCCATTCTTGTAAAATTGATCTTCAGTCGTTCCACCACCCATTTGATTTGATAGAGTGCTAATTTAGTTGTTTGATGCAAGATTAACTTCACGGTCTTTCAAGTTTGCACCTGACCATTTTTAATGAAGCAACTAATCAACGTTTTCTGATTTTTCTTTTCTTTGAATATACTCAACGAAACCTAACATGCCAGTCTTTTGGAAGTTAGAAGAGAATACCTCGCTTATCAAAGCATCCATATGGAAACCTGCAAGAGTAATAAATTACCAGCAATATCCCATTGATGCAAGATTTGGAATGAAATTTTCTAAGTCTTCTTCACTCATTTACTATGCATCCCAATTAAAGGATGGAGAGAGATTGTATGAGAGTAGTGCATGTGGTTTCTATGAGTGTATTCCATCAGCAAATTCCTTTGCAACTTAGAGATCTGGAGTGGGTGTCTCCATCCACAAAAGATCGGCATAATCAGCAAAAATTATACCTCTTTTAACACAGAAGGCAACGCTACCTTCTACTCTATAGTATCCCTCTTAAGTTCTGCAACCCTCCCAATCAAAATAGAATTCAAATTTATGTTTTTTAGCCATATCCATTGCCTACTCTAGTGACATGTGTATCGCATGCTAGTCCCATAACTTCAATATTCTATCTCTTTCCTCTTATCTAAAATTTTGACAAATAGAAATTCTGCCTGCTTAAGGGAAGGTTAGGAGTTTTTGCTAATTATTGGGGTCTACACAGCCCAAGATAAATGGATGATCAGCTGGATCAATATTGTTATCAATGAAAGCTGCGCTTAAAGCATCTGTTCTAGCACAAATAACTAAATCACATCCCATTACGTCTGCTTAAAGTCTTGCTGCTTGCAATCTAGTTACATGCTCTCTAGTTGATACCAGCACTTTTCCACCCAAATGCCCACATTTCTTTACTCCTGGCTTTTAATCTTCAATGTGGATACCACCAGCACCTGCTTCTATGAACATTTTTACTAATTTCATTACTGAGGTGATACCTCCAAAACCTGCGTCAGCATCAGCTATTATTGGAACTAAGTAATCAACCTTTTTATGCTACTCTCTTTACTATTGTGTCATTGTTGATCTTTCTTCGTTTTGTCTTCTGTCATGGAATAATTAAGCTTTAACTAGCTGCATAACTTTATCAGGCACTGTACTCATTGGATAGTCAGCGAAATCTGGGCCAGGTTCATGACCAGCTGGCACATGAGTTGAGGAGCACTACCATCCTGATACGTAAATGGAAGATAAATATTTGCACATATTTGTAACTTGAACTGTGTCCAAGGCGCCATATGTCTTTGAGCAGTCTCTCTCATCAAACTTTGATCTTAGAAGCCAGTAGAGCTTTCTTGAAAGGTAGTGAGAGGGAGTGACTAGATCGATTGATGATCTCAGAGCAGCGACATCAGCTGATTTATAGTTTCTTTTTATGAATCTCCATCTCTCATTTGCCCACCATCTAATTTGTATAAAATCTAAGAAAGTATTACTTTTCTATGTCATTTTCAACCTGTGAAGCTTGCTAATCAAGATCCTTGAATGAACTAATGAAAGATAGCTCTTATTTCAGTTTATTTAGTATTTTAATATCAGAATAGGGTGATTGTTTTTATCCGTTTTATGAGGTCATGTTAGTCTTATCCTTATTCATTGAATTTACGTTAGATTATTGATGAAATAATACTATTAAATAGAACATCTCTTCTATCGATAAATTCATCATTTTCACTCTTTCGGGGTTTTGGGGTTTTGGGGTTTTGGGGTTTTGGGGTTTTGGGGTTTTGG